CATCCCCAGGGTGAGTTGTTGCGTGCGATGGTGGTAAAATTTGAATACTTTATGAAATATAGTGATTTTAGTGAACATTTCGATTCATTTTACGTAGGTATTTTCTGTTTAGGATCATGCGCATAATCTCGTAAACTCCTTTCCCTAGCTCTCTCTCCGCACATTCCATTTATTATAGCTCTCGAGTTCGATTTGCAAATGTTCGTTCGGGGCATCAGATTTGTTAATTTGCTTAGTTCCTATTTTCACATTCGTTTGTGAATATCATTCGTTCTGATTCGTTTCACTATAATTTGCTTTTTATCTTTAATACTTTGAATCCAGCTTGTCATTGGAGTTTCAATCCGTCTAGCGGAAACCTTGCCAATTAATCGAATAGGGAGAGCCTTACAATTGCTGGTTATTGCTAGGCGTGACAAGATCATCCGAACTGTGGAGGTGACGCCACTGGTAGTTGGGATACTTAAGGCTAGTTCGTCACACTCGTAGAAAATGATAAATTGTATATGCTCAAACTAACTCATCATATATATAATCGTTGTTGGTCAGAACAGACTCGTCATAATCGTTGTTGGTCAGAACAGACTCGTCATGATCGTTGTTGTTCAGAACAAACTCATCATAATCGTTGTTGTTCAGAACAGACTCTTCATAATCTTTGTTGTTCAGAACAGACTCATCATAATCGTTGTTGGTCAGAACAGACTCATCATAATCGTTGTTGGTCAGAACAGACTCGTCATAATCGTTGTTAGTCAGAACAGACTCTTCATAATCGTTGTTGGTCAGAACAGACTCTTCATAATCGTTGTTGGTCAGAACAGTCTCATCATAATCTCATCACCTCATCCTTTCCATCACTTCGTCCATAACCTCGTCTCCAGCCCTCCTGTTCGTTAACTAGGATCTTATCGTCAGCGATAAAGCGGCGTAAACATTTACTAGGGAAATAAGACACATGAAGTATCAGATGAAGCATACAATATACAAAAATATGAACACAAATACTGATTAATATTTATCGAATTAAGCGGCCGTCAGGGTTCTGGTGGTATTGATTATGTTTGCCTGAACTGTTCATTGTGCACCGTAAAATTTAATCAATCAAAGCACCGACAAATTTTTCGGTGCTTTGATTCTAAATTATTTTGTGATTTTGTAATTATTCCTAACAATTTTGATTTTTGAGTAGTATCCTATTTACTTGATTTTGTACTTATATGTCGAAGCTAATTTCATCACTCAATGCGCCTTTTAACTTGATAGTGAATGATAGAAACATTCGAAACGTCGTTAACGAAATAAAAATGTCCATCGGTAACCTGATTTTCGATTTGCCAGTTCAAACTAAAAATATTGTTCGATATATTGAAAAAACTAATAAGAAAATTGCGAATAAAACAAATTCTCTGGTCTTCAATGAAACCTGCTTGAAAGAAGAAATTCTGCCAACCTATACTAATTGCCTTAAATGTAGCGCCGCTACCGCTACATCTAGCGCGCTACTGCCCACCTCTGTCCGTAAGGTGCCAGGCATTTCAAGACTGAACATATGCTCATGCATAGCTTCGTCTAGTCTGTTCTTGTAGACGTTCATACTTGGAGCGTCAACGATGCTATCAGGGAGGCTGTTCCACATATCGGTGACTCGAAGCGAGAAGAAATGTTGTCGCATTGATGTGTTACAACGCAGTTTTTTAGTTTATAGCCGTGGCCCCTGGTGCTGGTTTTTGTTTCAAATTCCAGTAATCCTTCTGAAACCTTGTATAAACCGTGGGTTTACTTGTATACTTCAAAGAGGTCCCCACGCAGACGTCGATAACAGAGGCTTGGAAGCGTCATAATCCTCAATCAATAGGCTGAATTTCAAGCTTCTTTGTCCTCGTACACACATTGCTCACTCCTTCGCACGCAAACGCAAAACGCAGATTTTGAGTAACTGCACCGATCGTAAGTCCTTCAATTCGGAACGGATCTGCCTAAAATTTAAAATATAAATTAATACCTATGTACCGTAGGGGTTTTTATTTCAGGTTTTTTCATCATTTCGTTTTGGATTAACTAACAGGAAAAAATTACATTTTGCGCAGCTGATCCAATCAAGAGTCCTTCAATTCTGGAGCGATCTGCTTGAAATTCAGATAATACCGAACTATAAGCGATGTGGCACGGGAGGAATCATAACATATTTTTACAACCTTTATTTTTAGATTAAAACAAAACCTGAAAAAAGTTAGGTTATGTTAAGATAAGTAAGATTTGGGTCCGGTTGATTAGGTAAGGTAATTCATTATTACAGCATACTGCTCTACGTATCCTAGTTGATACTATCCTATCTTAACCAATCTTAAGATAATTTGACTTAATTTTCTAAAAGTTTCGTTTCAGTCAAAAACTGAATGACTTAAAAACCTGTTTTTAATTAGCTCTTCCGGCGTCGCATCGCTAGTAATAAGTTTTATTCTAAATTTCAGGCAGATTCGTTTGGAATTTAAAGACTTATGATTGGTTCGGTTGTGCAAGAGTTGCGTTATGTGTTTGAGTCCACTGGCGAATTCGCGGGTGAGTTCCGAGAAATGTCGATTCAGTCTGCTGCTCCCAACGGTAAAACAATTTAACCTAACCTAACAACTGAGCAATATCTATTAGTGGAACTTGTGATTGACCTAAAGTCCTAAACCAAGCCAGGATATTAACAAAACTTCACACGGAATAAATTTTTTCGTAATATCGATAATTTATATAATAAATAAACTGGAAAAACATCAACCTGAACTAATGAGCCTACAAGGTGAACAAATAATACTATTCCAGGAGTGAATCGACTGCGTCGCAGCTCATTTACATCAATGAAATTACAACCTCTCTAATTTACAAGTTGTCTTCACAGTTGCTTTATCAGTCTGACCTGTAGTCATTTAAAACCCAGCGGCCACCGCGTTGTTTACAAATAAAGTGAGCGTTGACTGACACGGTATGTGCTCAGGCTGGGAGGTGTGATATATTCATACCCGAAGTCTTAAAATCAATTATAAAAAAAACTGACACGGTTTTGCAGAGCTTGCTCTCTGGAGAAAATTGAGTAAACTGCATGGCGAAAATTTTGAAACTATGTGTGCGTATTATATGCATCATAAAAGTCACTATTTAACTATCATCTTATCTCACGAAGATTGATTTCTTTCAATTATTAAGATTATTTGAAAAATTTAGCTAATTCATAAAATAGGCCGTTTCTAATGAAAAGTTATTGAACACTCTGAACTTAGCAAGTGACTAGCCTACCTAATAAAGTTTTTGGCATTGTTCCGCACTGACGGTAGACGTAGAAATAAACTGTGATCAATATTTTTCCTGGTATAGAGTATAAATTCCATGACTCTTTTGCTGAATGCTGATATGATCAATAAATAATAATGTGGCTCAAATGCAAATCATCAAACGTCTAAACTCAGTTTAGTCTAAAGCCCTTTTGTAAATTCACTAAATTGTAAATTATATAATATAATTTACAATTTAGAGAATTATAATATTAATAATATTGGTATTACCTTAGATTAAGTGCATCAAAAAAAAGTTTTTTATAAATTATATCTTTTTTGGGGTGTAGATTAAGGATCTGAAATCCGCTTTTTGCGGTTGGCATCACAAAACCAATTTTTTCTGATTTTTTTAATATTTTTCTATAGAAAACGACAATGGGGGATCCGTGGGGAACCTAGTCTGGAAAAGTCCTATTTTTGTCTGAAATATCGCGGCTCTAATATCATATAATTTCAGTAGGTATGAAATCTCGCGGCTCGAATGTCATAAATTTTTGTTTGATTAAAAAATCGCGGTTTGCACTTCGCAAATAAAAATTCAGTCGCGGCTCGCCAAGTAGATATATTCCATACTAGTGGGGAACTGGGAATTTTAGGGGGGGGGGCCGGGGGGACACGCCCGAGGCTCTAATTCGTCAAAAAAAAAATCAGGCAAAAATCAACAAAATTGGCAAAAAATTGGAAAAAATCAGAAAATTTTTTTGACTAACGGCCACAGGATTTGATTCATATTTCCAAATTCCAAAACAAGACCAAAAACAAAAATCCCAATCCTGATACCAAGTCCCAACTAGTATTTTATAGTTTTTAGTGTTACAACTAACATTCTAAAAAGGGACAAAAGAGGGCAAGCCTGCAACTGCATGATCTGCATCTGCAAGCCTATGTGCAGTTTCTGCTAAGTGGAAACTTATTTGGCAAATAGGCATTGACAATAGATGAAACTGCAAGATTGCCCTACATAATATTATGGTATTACTTTAGATTAAGTGTATCAAGAAAAAGGGTGTTTTTTTTTATTATATGTTTTTTGGGATGTAGATTAAGAATCTGAAATCCATTTTTGGCGGTCTGCATCAGAAAACCGTTCTTTCTGATTTTTTATATATTTTCTATAGAAAACAATAATGGGGGACCCATTGGGAACTGGGGGTTTTAGGGGGGGGACACGCCTGAGGCTCTAATTTGTCAAAAAAAAATCAGGCAAAAATCAACAAAATAGGCGAAAAATTGGAAGAATCAGAAAATTTTTTTTGGCTGGAAATGATCTATATCGATCTGGGAATGACTGTAAACCTATGTAAAACCCAAAAATTGTGCTAGGTTAGGTTAGGTTAGTGGCTGTGGCGATAATCGTGATATAGTAATAAATTTTTTATAATTTGTGCCTGTCTGGAAGATTTTGTTTTTGGTGAATTTTCCCAGCCTAAATGAGCTTCCTAAAAGCAATGTTCCATGCAGTTTGCAGTACCTAATGCGCAGGATAATCTCAATCTGATTATGTCAAAAAGAGGAAAAATTAGAAAGAAAACTATATCACCGTATATAGTTTTTTTTCTAATTTTTCTTCTCTTACTAACTTGACTTAAGGCAAATGTTTCTAAACATTTTTATACAGTTTTATTGTTATCAGTTGGCACATTTAATTAATACCTTAACATATTTATATTCTTAGAGATTTCAGAGTTGCTTTTTTTTTGGAAAAGTGTTGTCACTTCATCTTCAGTCAAATGGCTAACCCTACTGAAGCTGCCACCAAGAACATCATCACTTTGAAAGGCTCAGCTAAACTTGTATCTGAATTTTTCTGTGAGTATTTCTTTATGTAGGGTTGTTTGTTAACTTTAAGATCCCAGCAAGCCATTTGCAGCAACTAAATTACTAATAATATATAATTGTTGTTAGACTTTATAAAATGAATTAATCTGTTGGCAAGGCACATTTTCCTATATTAATGTTCACAATTTCAATGTTTTAATTTTAACTCACAAATTAATTCTGATGTGTTTTCTTCTAGAAGATTTTTCTTTCTGGAGAAAAGTATATTGGTAGCCATTCTGACATTTTTTAAGCACTGCACCAACCACTCAAATGTCTCAAAGATCCCACAATGTCAAGTTCCAAAATGAGTAGGTATATATATATAATTAAAGCCCATCATTCTTTTTAGAACAATTTTTATTTTTCTATTTTAGACAAGCCCAATTTTTTAAACTAACTGATATTATGCTCTTACATGGTACATAATTCTGGATGTGTAATGTATGGTGTGAATATACATATGTATACCTACTAGTGTAGTTAGGGAAAAGTTCATCATTTATGCAGGTTTGATTGAAGACTAGAGCATAGTTTTTATTACCAATTTTCTTATTAATTTTTTCAATAAGCCAAACCAATTTCTTGCTGGTGCTTGGAGATGGAAAAGCAAGTTACCAAATGACATTTTATTGGAATGTGAAGTTTTGAATATTCAGTATATCCAGTAATAGTATTTAGTGGTAAATATTATTAACAACTAATCATACAGTGCTAAATTGTTTTTTGTGCAGACTATGGTATCAACAGCATCTTATACCAGCGAGGCATCTATGCTCCCGAGAGCTTCACATACAAGCAGGAATATGGCCTTACTCTTTTTGTTAGTGATGACAAAGGAGTGAATACATATCTTAAAGATGTTCTTGCACAAATCAAAGGTAATTCATCTCATAAAATGTGACCCCATTCTGACCAATGATGAGCTATAAAACAAACACTATAGGTATTGATTTTCATTAGTGATTCATGCTCAACGATAAATTACACTACCCCATACTTTTTGGGATTATTTTGTTATTTTCTAATTTGGTACCAAACCAAATGACCAGACATCCATCAATGTTGTTATTCATGTCTTGTTATTGCAATGTTATTTATCTGTTGGGAATGAAGTACTAAAAAAATTGTGTTCTATGTTATTTCTGATGCAAAGCATTGGGATTTTCCAGACTGGCTGGAGAAGGGCCAAATCAAGCGTCTGGTTCTGGTGATCAACTCTGTGGCTACGAAGGAGGTACTCGAGCGCTGGGACTTCCAGATTGACTGTGAGGCTACAGCTCAGCACAATGATAATGATGTAAAAAAGTACGTCTATCTCTTTGTAAAGATTGAAATTATAAATTTCTCATATTCTAGCATTCAAATATTGAATAAACATTTATGTTATTTTTTGATAGATAGGTATTGGTAATAATATTTAAATATAATTGCTGTAGTTGAAGTTAGTTGTTTGGAGAAAAGTAAATGCTACTGATTTCAAAAATATTAGTGAAATAATCTCTCCTCAATTTTAATGGTCATTTTTAGTGGATTTTCTCATTTATTGAAAAAATGCCCTATTGTGCTCATCATGTCCGTCCGTCTGTCTGTCTGTCCGTCTGTCTGACCATCCATCTGTCTGTGACTTCACGTTTTGGTTGACAAGAAAATGCACTCTCTGTCACTCACTGCAGTGAGTAGGGTTATTCCATGCCAAGTGGTCTAACCCTTCCCACCATCATGTCACCAATTTTCTTCAAAATTTAACTGTAGCACGAGTGAAGTCCTAAACTAAGTTTTCCAAAATATTAGGCCTGTAGAGCTTACTGAGTTATATTTTTTAATGAAAGTATTATTGATGACAGGGAAGCTGTGGGTGAGAAGGACCTGAAGCTGATCCAGCGTGAAATGCGTGACGTCATCAGGCAAATCACAGCATGTGTTACCTTCCTGCCTCTACTTGACCAGCAATGTTTGTGCTATAGTACTTTAATATCACCCAACCAAACTATTTTTATGTTTCTAAAGATAAATTGTGACACCTTCCTTCTGTCTGATGATAGGCAATGTGATAAATTGCCTTCTCCTAATTGTGCAATATTTGTGTGATTGCAATAACGCTCCTCTATGTGTTGGGCATTTTTATAGCTAAAAAAATGAGTTATAGTGTGTATAAATTGATTCAACATCAATTTAATGTTTATAAACAGTTGATGTAATTTCTCATGGTTCTCAGTAATCTGTTGATTATAGGCTTCAAACTAAAATATATAAAAATAATTTTGATTGATTCCAAACTTTATTAAGTTCTGATTGTATTTGTGTTCAAGATTTATCACACTAATAATGGAGCTGGACTCCAAAACATTTTCAATAGTGATATGCTGAATTTATGTGGAGTTTTCTTCTCTTTTAAATTTTTATTAAGTGAATTGTATGATCCTTGTACAAGTTGTATTTGCTAGAAAAACTGAGTAGCTGGTGAAGCAATGTTTTTTTCTGTATAATCAAATTTGTAATTGTAAGCATGTATCATAACTACAAGCCTACTTCATTGGCTAAAAGTATCCCTGAATTTGAGTTAATGTTTTTGCGATAGCAAATGAATAGTTAAGCAATTTAATCACTAGTCTATGAATCAAATTATGAATTTTCATCACTAAAATTCTTTTGGACCCGCTGAAAGCATGATGGTAATCGTATTGAGTCTCATAGTTACCAACATGCTTATTGTAGCTGTCAAAAAAGTTTTTTCAATTTGGTTTAGTGATTTCAACAATGCAGAAAGATTAATTACCTTAAATTTTGTTCGCGGTACTCTTAAGTAGAAATCTTCATTTTAGGTTTTCAAGTTTCACTCCAATAGGTATGTAATTTATTTACAGGTGCTTTTGACCTGCTGGTGCACACCGACAAAGACTGCAACATCCCCGACTCCTGGCACGACTAATTATCTTATTTATTTGTAGGTGCCTTTGACCTGCTGGTGCACACCGACAGAGACTGCAACATCCCCGACTCCTGGCATGACTAATTATCTTATCTATTTACAGGTGCCTTTGACCTGCTGGTGCACACCGACAAAGACTGCAATATCCCCGACTCTTGGCACGACTAATTATCTTATTTATTTACAGGTTGCTAGTGTCAGGTAAATCAAAGCAGAATTTTTGCAGGAAAGTCTCACAAACTAGTTTGGAATGCTAGTGTCAGGTAAATCAAAGCAGAATTTTTGTAGGAAAGTCTTACAAACTAGTTTGGATAGCTAGTATCAGGTTTATTGACTTATAATTCAAATAGGTATTCCTGACTGACGATGATGCTGATGTGGCATTATTCTCACAGCTTGGCTAATCAACAATAGCTGAGCAAACATTCCACATTTTGATGTTAAGATATACCTACTCTTTCACGACTATTTCCATTGTAATGTCCTTTTAATGATTGTTTTTAGTGAGGAAATAAATGAAATATTGAATACAGTTATCGGTATTGAAAATATTTTTAGCTAATAGCTCCAGAAAAGAAAGATATTTCGAATTTGGGCATCGCCATATTAGGACTGCACATCGTTTTTTGAAAAAAAAAATAATTATATTTTTTTAGAGATAGGGTGAAATATTTTAATTATGAAATAAGTTTCTTGATTAAATACAGATCTGATCAGGTTAAAGGATTTTTTCCACATTTTTTAGAACTCAGGTTCAAGCGCGGACATTCAAGATAATGTTGATCTGAAAATAACTGTTTTTAAAAGGGATATTTTTCTAACAAACTCCACAATAATTGTATTGTATCCAACAGTAACGTTACAGCTGTGTACTTATTAAAATAAAATCAATTTTCACCACGGATAAATCCTTAGTCTTTAGTTCATGTTTGTATGTTTTGATCCAATTATTGTTTTATTTTGCTGTAAACCAGCATCTGATTTGTTATTTTTTCAGTTTAAATTTCAATCAGCTAAATTTTTTGAGGTTTGTTCTCGTATTCTGTGATCAACAAAATAATTTATGCTATCATTTGTTTTCAAAATTTTCGTATAGATTTCAAATAAACCAAATTTCTTGAAGCTTGCACATGATAATATTAGTGAAATCGTTCATATTAAGAGTTTCCTAAATTGTGATATTACCATAGGACCTTAAAACATGTGTTGCACAATACAATATTTGTCATTTTTTGTGGTGGAATAATCAATTCAATTTCTTCATGTTTATGTATAAAAGAATTGGTTAGAAGATTCATGCAACAAAAACGAATTTTTGTCCCATACGTCACTAACCATCCTCTTTACTGCACCAAATGTACAAATAATATTCTACATTTAATAATCTAAAGTTAACTATGATATTCTAGTGTCGAACCTACCCGATTTCCAGCCAACATCGCTTTGCAGCTATTTTGTACCTTTTAAAAACACATTTTCAATATATTTTAAATAAGGGCTACTATATTCTCCGAATTATTGTTTAGTAATTGATGCAAGTTTCAGCTCTTGTTTTCCTTACATGCCTTACTGAATCTTGTCTAAAAAATAATTACTTTACTAATGTTGCCGGGTTAATGATTAACTGCTTATGTACTCAGGATTTTTGTATGACTAGTGATTGTTTAGTATGACTAGTGACTGTTCAGTATGACTAGTGACTGTTTGGTATGACTAGTGATTGTTTACTATGATTCGCGATTGTTTAGCATGACTAGTGATTGTTTACTATGACTCGCTATTGCTTAGTATGACTAGTGATTGTTTAGTTTGACTAGTAGTGATTGTTTAGCATGACCAGTGATTGTTTAACATGACTAGTGATTGTTTAGTATGACTAGTGATTGTTTTGTATGACTAGTGACTGTTTAGTATGACTAGTGACTGTTCAGTATGACTAGTGATTATTTAGTATGACTAGTGATTGTTTAGTGTGACTAGTGATTGTTTAACATGACTAGTGATTGTTTAGTATGACTAGTGATTGTTAAGAAAAGATGGTTTGTTGGCGTGGAGTTGACATATCATTAATTCTTGTAAGGCGGATAGTTGTAATGGTTGTTTTTTTTCTAATTTTCCGGGAAAATGTCGAAGAAAATTGTGAATTATTTGCCTTATCTTCTTGCTACAATGTTTTACTTTGATAATTTGTAATTGGAAGCGAAAAATAAATTGATAGAATTTCGTAACTTTCGTATTAAATATGAACCAACTTATTTTTTGGAACAATTTCATATTATCGTTTTAAAACGCTCGTAATGTAACTTGAGTTTGTATAACTGCAACAAGATTTTTTGTAGAAATTAAGAAAACGGCCTGACTACTACGTACAAATGTCATACAAAGGGATATTTTAAACTATTATATGTGTATCATGTATATTTCAAAATACAGTTCACTACAGTGGTCCCAGAAATACTAGGCAATATCACGTTATCACATCCATTCATCGTTATTAATATAATAATAATAACGGTTACAGTAGATTAATATCGTTCGAGTGAAATATTTACAAGCCTAAATTGTTACGATTAAGAAACAGTCTTCAAGCCATTGAAAACTTTAAAGGACAAGGAATAATATTATTGTAAAAATCATTGTAAATGGTTTTAATTAGTGAACACATTTCGTTAGTGACGTTAGAGTTGGTAACATTAAAAATAATTGTAAAAGGTATTAATGAAAACAATTCGTTTATGACATTAAGAGTTCCAAGTTGGTAATTTACAGAAAAAACTAATTTACGTTCTTTGCAGTGTTCCTAAAATGTGACAAAGTAATAGCACTGAAGATTGTTATAGTAAAAAGGCTGCAGTACTAGCGCGAAAATATTTAACCACAATATTTAAACCTGTGGAAATATTTAAACCACAAGTTTTTAACTAAAAATTCACAATTTGCTAACACTTAATTGAGCGATCAATATCAAAAAACAACACTAGCAGTTACATCGTCATGGTCTGCCAACAAACAAATTTTGTTTCGAGTTAAAGATTGAATCGAAATTACAATAAAGATCGAAGCTAAAATAGCTCAAATTTTAATAAGATTGAATTCCATCGATTACAAAGCCAATTCTTCTGAGAGAGCAAAGATTTAAATTTTCAACTCAAATCTTCTGTGAGACTAAAACTTTCCTTGAGTAAATAACGTTAAAGATGGCAAAAATTCTAGGAATAATCCGAGACAAATTTTGGTATACAAATTAGATTAATACAGATGATAGATGTAATTATATCTACATGATTATGTGAATATAAATTAAATAATATGGAGTGCATAGTCGTCCAAACGCAAGATTGTGAAAAACATTTATGGAAACAAAGATGCGAAACAATTAGCACCAAATGTACAAACTTTACATCCTAATGAACAAAATCTTTTGCAATCCATGCGCTCAGAATAACGTATAAACAACGTTAAGTCTTTGCGTAAATTCAACGTTAAAACGCCTTGCCTCGTTTGTGGGAAGCGTTTGTGAAGCTGCCATAGTTTACAGGCACTCATAAATTTCTATATTTAAAGTCGACACTAACAATCAAATTGCGATAACGCCATATGATTTAAGCATCAACATCAGTATTGTGGCAAAACACCATCGACAGTTACATGCAATCAACTGCTTTTGTGACTTTATGCCGTCGTAATGCTGCACATTATATTCACGTTATTCTAAAAAATATAACTCAGGACTCACTACAGGGAGTAACAGAGCGCATTTTCTCGTCGATGAAAACGTGAAGTTACGGACAGACGGACGGACGGACATGACGAGTACAATGGGGCATTTTTCCATAAATGAGAAAATGCGCTAAAAATGATTAAATCAGTACAATAGCTCGAGCTAGTATCAGCTAGAAGCTCAAGCCAGAAACTGAATTCGGAAGAGATTGTCAAACACTAAATAACTGCAAATATTTGCAAAAACAAAATTATTATTTTGCTGCTAATACCCCGTAATGCAATGCTTCACATTCTATTCACGTTATTCTAAAAGAAGATTAAATCGGTAAACAAGCTCGAGCTAGTATCAGCTAGAAGCTCAAGCCAGAAACTAAATTCGGAAGCGATTGTCAAACACTGAATAACTACTAATATTTAAAAAAATTATTATTTTACAGCTAATACCCCCATTGCTCTGACGTTGAACCAGTCGCATGCATAATATCTCACAAGAAAAACAACCTCTTTCATCTAACCTCCCTATGTTAAAATTACGTAACGGTCATAAATTGAACGGATACAAAGTTAAGAGATTCCTATATTTTATACAAATGAAAATACAAGTAAAATGATAAAGTGCTTAGCTATTGGTCATGTCATTTTTGGTTTGATTGTGAGATTCGAGACTTAAGACGACGTGTGTTACAAATGGAGGAATGAGTTATCGTCGAAGATTTGGAATTACATTCTAGTTTTAGAAATCAAGTGGAATTAAAAGGAAAGAAAACTGAAATTCGTATACAAACTTGACGTAGTGAAGTAAGTGAAGTTAAGAATGAAGGCAAACATTTCACGAAAATAACTTTTATGAAAGCAAATCCAATCTGTTTTTTCATATTTCAAGCACTTTGAGTTCAAAAATAAATTTTTGAAGCGTTCAGTAGACTCTAAATGTTGCATTATTGTAACGGTTAACTTATTTAATTTAAACTAAAACTAGACAGGCATATGTGGTAACTGCAAGCCTATTTACAATATCTCTTCACATTGCCATGAAGTCTTAAAGAAAAAGTCTGTATTTTAGCTGCACTAGAAAGCCGACTTTCTTCTAGATTTGTGACTGAACCTTCTGCTTCCAGGCTTCTAGAAGTTCACTATTAACTAGGCATGACGCCTAGAAAAATAATAGTCTACCTACATTTATTCCTGATTATTGATAGTCTTATCGAGGTCTATGCCATGCCATGTAAAGAAATCTTTCACTAGACGTGTAGCCTATACCTGTAGGAAAGACTATCTAGTCCTATCACCTAGACCTCAATCTTTCACTAGACATGAAAAAACTATCATCTAGGGCTAATCCTATCACCTAGACCTCAATCTTCCACTAGACGTGTCGCCTATACCTGTAGGTAAGACCATCTAGTCCTATCACCTAGACCTCTAGAAGAGTCTATACCCTAGACCTATAAAGAGTCTAGGCTTCCTGATGACAATTTCGAAGCATACAAGTTCACCACCTGCACAAAAAAATTGGCAATTAAAAATAACCATGAATTAAATTTCCAAATTTCAGAACTTAATCGTAGTAAATTTGAATCAAGTTTTTTATCATTTCAACACTCAACAAATCCCTTGTTCAGCACTACATATTGTGAGTATTACTTCAAATAGGTATTATTAATGTGTACATACTTTCATGCATAACGTATTATAAACTGGAGCTCATTATAAAGTTCGGCCCATTATGAACTAGGGCCAATTATGAACTTGGGCTCATTATGAACTTGGGCCCATTATGAACTTGGGCCCATTATGAACTTGGGCCCATTGTGAACTTGGGCCCATTATGAACTTGGGCCCATTATGAACTTGGGCTCATTACAAAGCGTGGCTTATTATGAACTGGGGACCAGTATCAACGGAGGCCCAGTATCAACGGGGTCCCATTATAAACGTGGGCCCATTATAAAGAGTGGTTTACTATAAAGTGCATCATATAATATACCTATATAAACTTTACGTACTCTAGAGATGAAGCTGGGAGCCATTATAAACTGGGACCCATTATAAATTGTGGCCCATTATAAACTGGTGCCCATTATAAACTGGAGGCTATTAGAAACTGAGGCTCATTAGAAACTGGGACCAATTATAAACTGGGGCCCATTATAAACTGGAGGCCATTAGAAGCAGGGGCTCATTAGAAACTGGGACCCATTATAAACTGGGGCCTATTATAAACTGGGGCCCATTATAAACTGGGACCCATTATAAACTGGGACCCATTATAAACTGGGACCCATTATAAACTGGGGCCCATTATAAACTGGGGTCAATATAAAGAGTTCCATCACAAAACAATGGCCGCCAGTACAGAGGCAGTAAACGTACCCTGTAGATGAAGCTGGGGCCCATTATAAAGTACGGTTAAATATAAAGCACGGCTCATATTATTATATTATATGAGCCGTATAATATATGTATATTAATATTATCTATAAATAAAGTTGACGTACCCTGTAGATGAAGGCGTACTGGTCGCTGGTCTGCACGGCGCCCGCCCTGTGCCGCCGTACGCTGTGCACGGTCCCTGGCACGTCCACTGTGCGCCCGTCCTCGAACTGACGCAGGCAGCGGTCGATGGTGATGAACGTGCCCGTCCGGCCCGTGCCTGGGCTGTGGACGGGTGGACGGTTAGTGACGGGGTATTGACAGGGCTGTGGACGGGTGGACGGTTATCTTTAGTCCCTCATCCCCAGCTCTAGTCCCTCATCATCCACGACTCTATGACCCACTTGCCATGACCCACTAAGGCCTACCTGCAGTGCACGATGATGGGGCCCTTGGCCCGCATCGTCTTCTTGGCCCGTCGCACGGCCCCGATGAAGGCGATGAAGGGCTTCTCGTCGTGGGGCACGCCCGTGGCGGGCCAGCCCGTGTACCAGAGGTGGGTGAGCTCCCGCGTCAGGTTGTTCTCCAGGTTCTTGAGCACCACGCTCGACACCACGAACCCGTCCCGCATGTCACGGGACCTCAGGGTCACCTGCGGGGGCGGGAGGTGATTAGGACCTGCGGGGTGTGGGAGGTGATTAGGACCTGCGGGGTGTGGGGGTGATTAGGATCTGCGGGGTGCGGGAGGTGATTAGTGGACCTGCGGGGGGCGGGAGGTGATTAGGACCTGCGGGGTGCGGGAGGTGATTAGGACCTGCAGGGTGCGGGCGGTGATTAGGACCTGCGGGGGGCGGGAGGTGATTAGGACCTGCGGGGTGTGGGAGGTGATGAGGGTAATGATAAATTTAATTGTGGCATTACTTTGGCAAATATTCATGACATAAAAATCCACCCTTATAAAAGGTAAATACTTGGAATTATTTTAATGCTTATGGTCATGCCGATGCACCGCTTTCGACGTCGATCATGCGACATCCACCAAGCGAAATCGAAGAATGTTCTATGTTGCACTACATCGGTTATTTCGAGTACGGTATAAGATTGTAATGTGGCTATATCGAGTAAAAGATCATATAGTATAAGGTTATACATGCATAACACTAGGTTAATTGAATTATGAGCTGCTGTTGAAGTTATACAGCTTAATTGAGTGAAGAGAACTGAATAAAAGACATCATCTAAATCAATGTAATAGGTTCTACCCCGCGGTAGAACCTATTAAAATCACACACACTGAGAACCTCTTGAAAACCTCTTAACCTCATAAAAACACCATCAAGGCCCCAAGTACCACCCCGCACTAAGTCCCCTTCTTTTAAAGTACCCTCCACCATTAACCCCAAGTACCCACAAAGTCCCCTAGTACCCACAAAGTCCCCGAGTACCCACAAAGTCCCCGGGTACCCACAAAGTCCACAAGTACCCACAAAGTCCCCAAGTACCCACAAAGTCCCCGAGTACCCACAAAGTCCCAAGTACCCACAAAGTCCCAAGTACCCACAAAGTCCCCGAGTACCCACAAAGTCCCCGGGTACCCACAAAGTCCACAAGTACCCACAAAGTCCCCAAGTACCCACAAAGTCCCCGAGTACCCACAAAGTCCCAAGTACCCACAAAGTCCCAAGTACCCACTAAGTCCCCTAATACCCATAAAGTCCCCAAGTACCCAGCAAGTCCCCAAGTACCAGCAAGTCTCCAAGTACCCAGCAAGTCCCCAAGGACCCAGCAAGTCCCAAGTACCCAGCAAGTCCCCAAGTACCCACCAAGTCCCCAAGTACCCACCAAATCCCCAAGTACCCAGCAAGTCCCCAAGTACCCTGCAAGCCCCAAGTACCCTGCAAGTCCCCAAGTACCCTGCAAGTCCCCAAGTACCCATCAAGTCCCCAAGTACCTAGCAAGTCCCAAGTACCCAGCAAGTCCCCAAGTACCCTGCAAGTCCCCAAGTACCCTGCAAGTCCCCAAGTACCNCCACATACCTGCATGGCTATGTAGTACTGCGGCTCGCCATGTGGCCCCGCCACATACCTGCATGGCTATGTAGTACTGCGGCTCGCCATGTGGCCCCGCCACATACCTGCATGGCTATGTAGTACTGCGGCTCGCCATGTGGCCCCGCCACATACCTGCATGGCTATGTAGTACTGCGGCTCGCCATGTGGCCCCGCCACATACCTGCATGGCTATGTAGTACTGCGGCTCGCCATGTGGCCCCGCCACATACCTGCATGGCTATGTAGTACTGCGGCTCGCCATGTGGCCCCGCCACATACCTGCATGGCTATGTAGTACTGCGGCTCGCCATGTGGCCCCGCCACATACCTGCATGGCTATGTAGTACTGCGGCTCGCCATGTGGCCCCGCCACATACCTGCATGGCTATGTAGTACTGCGGCTCGCCATGTGGCCCCGCCACATACCTGCATGGCTATGTAGTACTGCGGCTCGCCATGTGGCCCCGCCACATACCTGCATGGCTATGTAGTACTGCGGCTCGCCATGTGGCCCCGCCACATACCTGCATGGCTATGTAGTACTGCGGCTCGCCATGTGGCCCCGCCACATACCTGCATGGCTATGTAGTACTGCGGCTCGCCATGTGGCCCCGCCACATACCTGCATGGCTATGTAGTACTGCGGCTCGCCATGTGGCCCCGCCACATACCTGCATGGCTATGTAGTACTGCGGCTCGCCATGTGGCCCCGCCACATACCTGCATGGCTATGTAGTACTGCGGCTCGCCATGTGGCCCCGCCACATACCTGCATGGCTATGTAGTACTGCGGCTCGCCATGTGGCCCCGCCACATACCTGCATGGCTATGTAGTACTGCGGCTCGCCATGTGGCCCCGCCACATACCTGCATGGCTATGTAGTACTGCGGCTCGCCATGTGGCCCCGCCACATACCTGCATGGCTATGTAGTACTGCGGCTCGCCATGTGGCCCCGCCACATACCTGCATGGCTATGTAGTACTGCGGCTCGCCATGTGGCCCCGCCACATACCTGCATGGCTATGTAGTACTGCGGCTCGCCATGTGGCCCCGCCACATACCTGCATGGCTATGTAGTACTGCGGCTCGCCATGTGGCCCCGCCACATACCTGCATGGCTATGTAGTACTGCGGCTCGCCATGTGGCCCCGCCACATACCTGCATGGCTATGTAGTACTGCGGCTCGCCATGTGGCCCCGCCACATACCTGCATGGCTATGTAGTACTGCGGCTCGCCATGTGGCCACGCCACATACCTGCATGGCTATGTAGTACTGCGGCTCGCCATGTGGCCCCGCCACATACCTGCATGGCTATGTAGTACTGCGGCTCGCCATGTGGCCCCGCAACATAGTTGGCGTTGATGTACTGCTTGTCCGGGCAGCCCTTGAAGCCCTGCAGCAACACCCGCGTCTCGTTCAGTGGGATCACGTTAGCGTATCTGCGGGGAAACCATACAATTTTGTTAATATTTTAACATTAATCTATATATACACAAAGTTCATTTTTACACAACCAACGACCATGCTGATGCATCACCTTCAACGCCTACCGTGGCCACTCTGATGCTGATATTTTGTCAATATTTTGACATTTCCACTTACAGTTCGTTTGTACACCACCCACGCCCATGCTGATGCATCACCTTCGGCGCCGGTCATGCCCCACCCACTATTGACATCGTGAAATGAACCTAACCTAACCTAGCCTAAACTAACCTAACCTAACCTAACCATGCTGATCCACCACTTTCAACGCCTACCACGACCATGCTGCTGCACCACATTCGACGCCTATCATGCCCCGTCCACTATCGACATCGTGAAATGAACCGCGCTTACTGATGCTCAAACCCATGGCTCATCTCGGTGCTGTTGCCAGCTTAATACAGGAATTACTCCCAATAATGATAAACAGTACACGCAGCGGCCTAAGTACACGTAGCGGCCTAAGTACACGTAGCGGCAGATTTTCTCCCTGTGATTGGCAGGTTTCGCTTTAAAAGCGTGCAGTGCAAACTCTTAACTATTTTTGATGGCGTATCCTCTGACCTATTCGAGTCCCGGACGGTGGCCAATAGGGAATTACTTTAACTCATCACAACAATAATAACAATGGAAACAATGAACAATGATAAGTAGCACCTGTTCTTGTCCTCGACGTTGGCCAATAGGGCATTGCTTTAACTCGTCATAACAATGATAATAACGATAATAATGATAACGATTAAAGCAATGATGACAACGATAACAATGCAAATCAGCACCTGTTCTTGTCCTGGACGTCGACCTATAGGGAATTACTCTGACTCATAATAACAACGATAACAAAGATGCGCAGCACCTGTTCTTGTCCTGGACGTTGACCTATAGGTAATTACTCTGACTCATAATAACAATGATAACAATGATAACAATGCTAAGGAGGACCTGTTCTTGTCCTGGACGTTGGGCGGGAGCTCGTCGTAGTCTGGGGACGTGACGGGTATGGACGTAAACTCAGCGTGGACGCCGTCCATGTCGGAGACAAAGTGTGTGAGCTGTGCGAAGTCCAGGGGGCGGGAGGGGCTTTTGATAGCGGCAACTTGAATATTTTTTCATTTAAATAAAATAATTTATTTTTATATATTTATATTTATTTATATATATTTTCTATTTTATATTTTTTTCATAGTCATTTTTGACCTATATGAGTAGCTTGTGATAGCAGCAACTATTACTTTTATTTATTAAAAAAAGGAAATAAATTGTTCATTTCATAGATATGAATATTTATATATATTTTTTCATTTTATATATTTTTCATAATCATTTTTGACCTGTCTTTCATAACATGGTACTACTGGGTTGGTATAGCGTTTTTGTTACAAATATTACACAATATCCTGCTTATTTATATTAATTAAAGAAATTTGAACGATATAATTTTTCATTATTATGCTTATTATCAGAACCTTATAAATAACTATAATGGTATGTGGCATCAACTTGCTACCAAACATTGCTAAGTTGAATTGCATTACCTACTAATTAGTGATTAACTCGTAATCAGCAAGTTTCCTAATTCATATGCCTATCTCCATTCTACGACCTATCGTCCAATTCTACCTTTACCATACATTTTCTACATCTACAGGTATAATAAACTCTCGTAGTGGATCGAATTCAGCCAGCAGCGTTATCTCTTTACATCTACAGTAGTAATAATAATTTTCAATTGTAGATGATATAAGTTTTCTACGTTCACTGATTGAGATTGCCTCAGTTTTCTACATACATATAATGGACTGAGGTTGTCCAAGTTTTCTACATATAATAGACTGAGATTGTCTAAGTTTTCTACATATAATGGGCTGAGATTGTCCAAGTTTTCTACATACTGTATAATGGACTGAGATTGTCCAAGTTTTCAACATATAATGGACTGAGATTTTTCAAGTTTTCTACATATAATGGACTGAGATTGCCTCAGTTTTCTACGCATAATGGACTGAGATTGCTTAAGTTTACTGACTGAGTTTATACGAGTTTTTCTACGCATAAGGGACTGAGATTGCCTAAGTTTACTGACAGAGTTTATACGAGTTTTTCTCCACATAATGGACTGAGATTGCCTCAGTTTACTGACTGGATCTTCGAAGCCCTGGTTGAGGTATGACTTGACTGAGTGGGTAGATCTATTCCTCTTGCTCTTGCGCCGGAAGGAATGGTAGACAGAGACGCTGTCTACGCTATACGCATCCATCGAGACCGGCGTACAGCGCTTGCCGTAGTAGTTCTCTGCCGCACGCTTGCGTCGGTGCATCATCTACCACGGTAGATTTGACAGGTTATTTTGGTAGAATTGTGAGGGTACAAGTAGACAAAATGTCATAGGAATGTGAATATTTAGGTAGATTTTGAGTGGGATGAAGTAGATCAAGTGTCCCAGCCGCACGCTTGCGTCGGTGCATCATCTACCAGGGTAGATTTGGAAGGTTATTTCGGTAGAATTGTGTGGGTACAAGTAGAACAAATGTCAGAGGCACTGAGGCTATTTCGGTAGATTTTGAGTGGGATGAAGTAGATCAAGTGTCCCAGCTACATATTTGTGTGGGTTCATCATCTACCAGGGTAGATTTCAATGGGTTATTCGGGTAGAATAAAGTAGATATAATTAGACTAACTGTCTCTGCCACTCAACTGCATCGTGGAGTTATCTACATTAACAAATGGCAGGCAAAAATAAGAGCAATACCGGTACTCAGTCACAACCATAAATACTATGAGATTTCCAATGTAAAAATCATTGAGATGTAAAAATACTCTACGTGTAAAAATTGTAAAATTTAAGTAAAATAAGTAAATAAGTAAAATAAAAAAATTATTGAGATGTAAAAATAATTGAGATGTAAAAAATCACTGAGATGCAAAAATCCTTGAGATTTAAAAATTATTTAGATGTAGAAATACTCCACATGTAAAAATTTTAAAGATTTTAAGTAAAATCGAAAAGTTCCCTCAAAAATGTAACTCACGAAAGCGACGCCGGCGGCCCCTGACGCGACGACGAGCAGCGCGCAAATTATGATGCCGGCGATACCCGCGGCACCCAGACCCTCGGTCGTCACGAGGGCAGCTGAGGGTAGCACCAGCTCCAGCTCCAGCACCTGAGAGGGTAAGGCTGGTTTATTGATTAATTTAATTAAAGAGTAAGAGTATCGAGGGCAGCTGAGGGTAGGAGTAGGACCAGCTCCAGCTCCTGCGAGGGTAAAGGGTGCTGACTCATTAGTGGACGTATATTTAAAAGTTTGGACTTATTAATGAACTTATTTATATAAAAGAGGCAGATGGCAGCACCTACGAGGGTAATGGTGGTTTGTTGATTAATTTAAATTGAGGAGCAAGAGTAGCAAGGGTAGCACTTATTTTTGTGAGGGTAAAGCTTGAATTAATTCCTATAAAGGAGCAAGAGGGCAGAGGACAGCACCTACGAGGGTAAGGCAGGTTCATGAAATTAGTCTAATTGAGAAATGGGTATTAAATATTAGTATTATTTATTTAAATATATTAGTTAATACTATGCTAATTGTTTTTGGCCATAGTAAGCTTTGTGTGGAAGCCTAATCAACTATCGTTGTTCCCAAGAATCTGGATAGTTTTATTCACAAGCTCAAGAGCAAATAAATAACAAAATCGACAATGACCGATCCATAAAAAAATACTGAAACAGAAACGACAAAGCGATAAAAATTTATAGAAATATGAAGTCGGTACATAATAACGTTATTACGTTCCGAATAGAAATATGTGCCAAGCACACATTCATATTCATATTTTTCTATTCATATTCATAATTTTCTATTCACAAATTTTATTTTTGAAATGTTGCCCAAATAGCGATGTACCTTTGCTCATATGTGGGTCATCTTGACTCAGTTTGACAAAAAAAAATAAGTATCAGTGATACACCCAGTAACTGAGTCACTATTGAGACAAAATGTCCCATACATTCTTCTGAGTGGTTATTCCTGTATAGGATATTCATATATATCTTATTTATATAGGAATATATTTATTAATTATATAGGAATATAGGGCAACTGAGTCACTATTGGTACAATATTTCCCATACATTTGGATGAGGATAGGATATTCCTATATAGGATATTCTTATATATTTTATTTAAATAGGAATATTATTTATATAGGAATATATTTATTATATAGTAATATATTTATTATTTATATAGGAAAATAGGATATTCCTATACAACTCACAGTCTGGGCGAGGGCTTGCAGCTCAACGGGAAGGTTTTTGGTCTTCGGGAAAAGCGGGAATTGTTCGGTTAGTTTCCTGTCGTATTCCTTATTTCTGGTCACGTAGAAATACGAGTTGGTTTTATCAACTACATCAAGTTTATCATCCGCATATGAAGCGTTGTTTTCTCCGAGGTTTAGGTTTGTGCCGGTAAGACGTAACGCTTGTGGTGCTTCATCCGGAATTACGGACGCCGGAGTCGGGGAAAATAAATTTGTGGATACAGGATCCGGGTTGAAATCCGCATATGAAGCGTTGTTTTCTCCGAGGTTTAGGTTTGTGCCGGTAAGACGTAATGCTTTTGGTGCTTCATCCGGAATTGCGGAATCCGGAGTCGGGGAAAACAAGTTTGTGGATAAGGGATCCGGGTTGAAATCATCCGCTGGAATGTGGTTGATGTTGGAACCGTAGTCTGGGTTTGGGTTGAAATTGTTGTCGGGTAACCGGTTGAGGTCGAGAGAGGTTGGATTTTCATAGACGCAGTTCGGTTCACCGAAGAAATGAATGTCGGCGCTGCCGATGATGCTGAAACAAATTGAATCAAAGTTTAATTACTTAAATTTAAATTGTTAAATTATGCACAAATTCAATAAAATTATGCAAAAATTTAACGAACCTGTTGATTAATATTAAACCAAGAGTAAACATAATAAAAGTTGCAACGCTATTTCAACAAGCAGGTAGCGTTATTCAACTGGCAATTGGTCTATTCGTTGTAAAAATCTGCCTAATAAATAAATATCAGCCTATTTAGAAAATCAGACTATAACCGCGAAAAAGCAGCCTTTTCAGAATAAGAATCAGCCATATTTCAACAAAAAATCAGCCTATTTCAACAAAAAAAAGCCTGTATCAACAAAGAATAAGCCTATATCAACACAGAATTAAAATATTTCAACAATAAATAAACCCATTTCAACAAACAAGCCTATTTCAACACGGTATATAATAGCCAACATACGATGTGTCGTGGCTGAGACTGCTCTGCAGCCAGAGCCTGAGCAGCAGAGCTAAGCTCTGTCTCTGTCTGCAGAACTCTGCGGTCGTCATGGCAACCAACAGGCGGAGGTGGGGGCCTGCAGCGTCCTGCCCCCCAGGGGGGGTGTGGGCAGCTGTGGGGGAGGGGGAGGATTAGGGCGTGAATTTTATTTTGGGGGGAGAGTTACGCCGTGAATTTTATTTATATCGAATCCAGTGGTTATTATTATTGTTATTGTTATTATCATTATTTTTATTTATTAATATTAAATAATGAAGTATTTATCGATTTCTTTATTTTTTATATTAATTACAAAATTTATTATAACATTGTTTTTATAATAATATATATTATTATTATTTACTATTATTGAATAATCAACTATTATCTATTAGCAGCAAGCAATTTATTCAAGCTCACGGATATAATTTAGTAAATTATTTAATCAAAGTTATCTATTAATTTAAGACTGTTCATTCATCATCATTCATGATCAATTCCATTTATTGCTGTCTTACTAGTTATTTATAACATCTATTAGCTTATATAGTGAGAATTATGATGTTTAATCATATTCTAATTTATTATTTGTCAACTGCTGTAGTGAAAAAAATTCCAGTTATCTGCTTGAGCGAAGCTACTTAATTAACATCTATATACGAAAAATTTCGATTTTCATTTTCAAAAATTTTAAAAACTGATATTCGGTATAAAAAAGCGGAGTAATTTCGAAGAAAACATTCAATTTGAACTCACCTGAACTATTTTCAGTAGAAACCCCGATTTCTGAGGTAGAAGTAGAATATGTGGATGTATAAGTAGGAGAAGAAGTGGAAGAAGAAGTAGAAGATGTGGTAGAAGTAGAAGAAGATGTAGAAGTAGAAGAAGATGTAGAAGTAGCAGGTTTTTCGGAAGTAGGGCTATCAGTCGAGGTTTTTAAAGAAGTAGAAGGAATTGTGGATGTAGAAGTCGAAGTAGTTGACGTAGATGCGGTAGAAATACTAGACGTAGGAGGAGATGATGTAGTAGAAGTAGAATACTTTGGTCCTAGTTCTACATCGTAGAAACCTCCTGGAGTGGTTTCTACGATGGTACTGATGCTGCTGCTGCTGCTGGTTTCCTGGTCGTTTTCTGGTGTGGTGTTTACGTCATTTTCAGATGTGGTTGTGGTAGTGGATTTAGTGGTGGATTCGGTGGTAGTGGTGGATTTGGTAGTAGTGGTAGTGGTGGTGGTGGTAGTGGTGGTGGTATCTTCATAAGGTATAATGGTGGTCGCGAAAGGTGGTTCCAAAGACGTGTTCTCAGCTGACACGGAAAATTCGTCGTGGCCGCCGGCGCCTGCAGATAAAATTTAAATTATAAAAGATAAAGCAGCAAAGTCTATGTCTATTCAGGGGGTGTCTATTCAGATAGTCCACGACACTGAAAGATATATCTATTATAATATTATATTAATATTATAATATTAATATTTACAAATATTAATTCATTTTCTTTATACGCTGAAAGATGAAGCAGCAAAGTCTATGTCTATTCGGCACAGTCGAAGATAATATATTAATTCATGTTGTAAATAATTTACGATATAACGCATATAATTTATGAGGCAGCAATTCAACGCCAGATTTAATTTAAGTAATTAAACAAAAATAAGAACGTATTGGCGTTGCGTGGCTAATTCACAGCAAAATGCATGCTGAATTTGATATTATAAACAATTATCTGCTAATAACTATAGTGGGTGCATTTAAATACGTTTGTGCAGGGTAAAAATTACAGAAAAGCACATGCTACACGTAGCAATTTGTGTATGTACACGTTTAAAGGTACACAATTATACGCACACGTTTGTATGTACACAATTCAGACCTCAAACATTACGTACATGAGACGTCAACATTACCTACACGAGCCATCATCATCACCTACACGAACTATCAATATTAGGTCATGATTTGTGAGTGATTCAAATGATACTTTCTAAATCATTTCATCATATTTATACAAGTTTAATAAATTTATTCGATTAGTTTTTAAATTGAGGATTATCCAAAATATTTATCATGCATCGCAATTCTCGCATGAACTTTGATCAATAAGATTTCTTAGACGAATAGAAAATCCTGCTGCTCTGAACATTAGAAAAGAAGTGCAATGTTATTTACATGAAGATTTTACGGTCTATTTTATGCTTTCTATTTCTTGGTTCACTTGGTTCACCAGACTGATTGAAACTTTTTTTAATATAATCACATTAAAACCTCCAAATTTGTAGTTTATTGAAGTAGTATTTATAGTAGAGAAGAATGATCCTTTCAAATTACGTAATGCATAAAATTATACTTAAGTAAAGATTCAGTGCAATTGTATTATTTTTAACGAAAAATTTTGTATCAGATTGCTTAATACTCAATAATGGAAAATACTTGAAATATATCAATTATATTCGTAAATCAATGATGAAATTAATGTAGTCTAAGTTTATAGTTCATACCAGTAACTGGGAAGCTAGACTCGGCACTAGTAAATTTACTAGTAACGAGGAACTCTTCAGGATAGACGTAGGTGGTAGGTTGCTTCCTGTAGGTGATGCCTTCTCCAGCCAGCAAGTTAGACTCCGTCGTGGCGTTAACAGTATTAGCGAAATTATATTCAACACTAAATCGAGTAGGAAAAGGAGTGGTTCTTCTAAGATCTTCGTCAATACCCGAAGATCCAGAGGACTTTGGAGTGATGCCAAGAACCACCGATGAAGAGTCTCTAGTCGATGATGGGTGGTGACGTGTTGACACTTGGGGGGTGGTCAACCGGAAAGTGAATTCGCTCCCGAAATTCGTGGATGGTTCACTTGAAGACACCACTGACGTGGGTGACAGAAAAGGGTCTTTACGGACTATTGTTTCTGGTACATTATGTAGCAAGGCTGAAACAAGCTCATTTTCGTGAGGCGAATGTGAATGGTGCGACGAGAGCGACGTAACAATAGTGGGTGCTGAAGGTGCAAAGCTATCGTGCAAGGAAGCAGTTACAATAACAGAATCAGTGCTTGATACAAACGAGGTGCTTTTATCCTTAGGGTTAGAGTCACTGAACACAAAGGTCGGGTTATCGATGAGTAAAGGCGTGAACCCACCTGAGAGGGTTGCGGTAGATTCTCGTGTCACGTCTGGTACAAAGTTTTGGCTAACAAATCCTCCACTCAGGTCAGGCGTCTCGTGCGCGATTGGAACATGAATATCTGAGGCGAATGGCACAGAAGAAGAAACAATGGAAGGTTGAAGAACTGGATGAATAACAGTAGGAGATAATGAGGAAATAACAGTGTGGGTAGGATGGATGGTATCGTCGATAGCGATGGAGGGGTCGATGCTTGTCAAGGTGGGATGTCGTGTGAATGAATTTTGAGATGGAACGGATGTGGACAAAATATCGGTCATTGTTAGCGGCGTTACTAAGTCGGTGGTCAAAATAACTGCTGGATGAAGAGGCACATGGTTGGAAAGAATACCAACAGGGAAATCGGCCTCCAGGTCAGGCGGGAAGTCAGTCACAGTATGCGATACAGACGCTTCGTCCGTCTTTGAAAGTAACATCCACAAGGGTATTCTGGTTTCTCCCGGTGTAACGCGAGTTTTTGAAGAATTTTTATCTCTAGAGAAGCTAGTACGAGAGCGTGTGGGCGCGCTAACTACATGTGTGGATGCAAAATGTGTGGCAGGACCTGAATCAGATGGTACCGAATTTGTAGCGTGGGTAGCGTCAACTTCGTTCACGCTAACACCTGGTACGATAAATAGTGGCCCACCTGAGCTCCTAACTCCAGTTCCGAAAGAATGAGTACTAGAAGGAAAAACGAAGTCAGTGTCAGACGCAAGGCTGTAAGCAGGAGTAGATTTTGGTCCAGTCGACTCAAATGTTGTTGGAATAGAAGCAGCATTATGAGGTGCATTCAATGGTTGGTTGGTATTTTCTGGTAGGCTGTTGATGCCATTATTTGATGACGGTACAGAGTGTAAAGCTGTTGGTAAAGCACCCGGGAAGAAAGCACTAGAAAAAATTTGCTGAATCTGTTTTCCAGTTGACAGTTCTAAGTTAGGTGTTGGAGTGATCGAAGGGAAGGATGAGGTTTCTTCAGCCGCTCGGACGCTCGACTGTAAATTTAGTAATCCACCTCCAACGAAATCTAGAGTTGGAGCTGCTGAAGGAACTGCTGTAGGAAGTGCTGTTGGGAACACGAAGCTTGGAGTAATAGTTCGAGTGACAGTTCGGTCGTGAAGAGGACCAGGAATATTGGATGAATGAGACGCGGCATCACTTAGGTCAAAGAAATATTGCGTTATCGGTTCTTTTTCCATTGGAGACTCAAAGCTGGTGGCATCAGGGAACCTGAATACTGCAGTACCAGCTTGAGAAGAAGTCCTGCTCCTAATAACTCGATGACCAGGAACTGGTGTGGTGACCAAATCTGAAGGCCAGTTAGGATACCAGTCTACTGAGGAAGAATCAGAAGGATGGAGTGGAAGGCCACCACTGACATCCTCAAACGGAGTTAGATCCTCCGGTTGATCCCTGAGGTACAGAGAAGGAAGAGTACCTGGACGAGGACCGGAATCAGACGTTGCGGCATTTGTCAAGATCCGCTCCCCAAAATCATTTATGTAATCGTAATCGCTGGCTAAGCCAGAACGAGGCTGAAATTCGTCAGTGGACGAACGAAACAACGGAGATGGCCGAAAATCGGAATCTTCTGTTGCTGGCGTTTCCGTAGTGTCTTTTTCCGTAATTGTAGATAATGTGACATCCATCACGTGATTCCCAGTAGAATTACTAGATTCTTCTGGGTCTTTCACGGACAGAGTATGACTGGCTTCTTCTGTTTGAATTGGCGTAGCGGTAGTTAGGTTTGGCAACGAACCTGCAGATGTGGTTTCATTTAACCGCAATGACGGTAATAGCGAGGAAAATATTACAGATACGCTAGGTATGTCGGTTTGTCGGACGTTCTCAGTCGGTCGGGTTGAGTCCAGTTGGCAAGTCACACCTGCAAGGCAAGTCATCATTAAATAAACACATTCTTTTCCATCGGGCGAAAATCTTGGTTACTCATTCAGAGGTTGACGTCAGCTATGATTTTATAACACAATTGATGAAACGTTTCGAATGCAGCTGGAATTTTAGTAAGTGACTCGAGTAACAACTTCGTCGTCATGGCAGGAATAAGCAGAGCTGGGCAGCGCTACTTTGAAATGTAGTGGCCGCTACCGCTACCGCTACAATTGCTTAAATGTAGCGTCGCTCCCGCTACCGCTACTGGAAATGTAGCGGCCGCTGGTAGCGGCCGCTACATGTAGCGCGCTACTGCCCACCTCTGGGAATAACGCAGTATTCATAAAATTCTTCTGTCAATAAAAGTCAAGAATATAGTAATCAAAGTCACAAATAATTTTATACGATACAAAACACAAATCGAGCAGAAACTTATTAAAGCTTAACAAGCAGTCGAAAAAAGCAATCAGAAACAAATGCACAATTACATGCTAAATCATTCCATTAAAATCACAATCATGCTTTAGAATGTAATTATCAATTGACGAAACTACACCATCGTGCGAACTAAAAAGTTTTTTTAAGAAATGTGAATTCACGGCAAAATTTCAACTTATAACAGTACAAATAGAAAAATTTTCTTACAATTTCCACACTCGTAATTTTCTTAATAAATGCATGCCACCACATTTAGGGTTAACGATATTTCTTTTTATACAGGAGAAATTTCATTTTAAAATCGTTATTTCATTTTTGGACGATATTTCATTTAATATTTAAATAAATTTCATTTTAAATTCTATCACGCTATGCAATCAATTCATAATTTACTTCGATAAACTTAAATAGATAAAAAAACACTATCCTAATCGTAAATACGATAAGTTAAGGTAACTTGGATGACTGTATATACTCAAAAATAACAATGCGTCTACGAATAATAATGAACAGCCATTGACTTACCGGCCAACATAGACGTGACCGCGGCTAGCAGTAGGATGGTTGTGGCGCTCGGGGACATGTTTACTTTAGTCTGCGCTCATCTGAAGGAAATTAGAAAATAATGTAAATTTCAAGGAAGTTGACGAAAATTAATACTAAATTTTAATAAATTAATTATAAATGATTAATACATAATAAATTTTAAGGAAGTAGAAGGAAATTATTACTAAATTTTAGTAAATTAATAATAAATAATAAATTTTAAGGAAGTTGAAGAAAATTTGATCTCAGAAAATTCTTCATTGAATAAGATAATGAATTGAGCTGTTATTGGCCCTTTAATAAAGCTCCTGGATTACTCATTCGTGAGTTATAGCAGAAATTAAAGGCCCAGTAACATTTCATTATGACCCACATATGGAGAAGTGACTTAAGAAAGTGTATCACTATTTGCACGCGGTTGACTTGTCTATAAGATCGTCATCCAGACACACACATATTTCTCTGTGCAAATATCATCATGATCCAGAATTTACACTTTCACATCCGTATTGACATAAGAATACCGTCCAGAATACCATACACATCGTCCAGAATACAACACACATCGTCCAGAATACCACACACCGTCCAGAATACCACACACCGTCCAGAATACCACACACACCGTCCAGAATACTGGAGGGGGAAGGGAGGGGAGGAAATGATGGGGTTGACGTAAGAGGGAAAGTGACGTCGCATTCAACGTGCGTTGCGTTCAACAGGCCCGGCAGTTTGGGAGTACGTTGACGTTGTAGAGTGAAGACTTGAAGTGATTTTGCAGCGTAAAAATGTAACTTATTGTGTAGCGTAAACGTCTAACAAAAATGTTTAACGTAAACGTCTAAAAAAAATTTAACCGTAAATGTCTAACAAAAATGTGAAACGTAAATGTCCAACAAAAATGTTAAACGTGAATATGAAACAAAATTGTAAAACGTAAATGTTAAACGTAAATGTATAACAAAAATGTTTAACGTAAATTTCTAACGTAAAGGTCTAACAAAAATGTTTTGCGTAACTGTCTAAGAAAAATTTCTAGCATAAATGTCTAAAATAAAATAAAATGTAAATGTCTAAAGTTAATTCAACGCCACTGAGTTAAACGAGCGAAAAAAATGATACGCGATAGTGCGATGAAAAGGAAACGGATTTGAATGGTTAATTTTTTTAAATTAAATAGTTGCCATTAACAGAATTCATGAATAATATCAATGCTAATATTGAGACAGTGATGCTGCGGCTATTTAATATTGATGCTAATATTACACATAAGATAACAGCCGTTATATTATGTAAATAATAATATCCCGAGGGAAAGTCTTATCCCATCGAAAGAAAGTTATCCTTACTTTCCCAGCCTCTGATGTCGACATGTGCGAAAGTTCCCATTGCTTTCCATGGGAGAACATTAATAACGCGTTACTTTATAGTGATGTATGCGTTACTTGTAAGTGATGCATGCGTTACTTTATGGTATTTCATGCGTTACTTGATGGTTCAAATAATGTGTTAATTAGCGTCTTGTAAAAGGTATTCCATTAACGTTGTTTAAAAGATCTCGAAGACGTTCCATTAAAATTATTCCAGGACAGCGTTCCTTTGGGGTTACTTAATGATGGCTTTCCATTAACGTTATTTAAAGAGGGCTTTCGACTAGGGGTTATTTGAAAGGGTATTCCATTAGCTGTGTTTATAAAAGTGATTGTCATTAGCGTTATTAAAAATGTTTACTATTAGCGTCTTTTATAGTATATTTAATTAGTGTTTATAAAAGGAGGTGTTAAATTAGGGTTATCCAGGGTTGGTGTTGCCATTAAGGTAATGGTGAAGGCTCGTCCATTAGTTACTCAGGGTTGGTGCTACCATGAAGGTAATGGTAAAGGTCATCCATTAGTCCCTAGCAACACTAACGCCCGCAGGAGCGTCGGCTTACGCGCAGATGCGTAATCTTAGACCGTCAATTGAGGAGTGAACGGCAACGCGATACGGGGTGATGAGTCGCGTTACTGCCCTGTTACTGGCGGTTACTGTCCTGTAACTGGGCGGTTACTGTCCTTTTACTAGCTGGGCGGTTACTGTCCTGTAACTGGGCGGTTACTGTCCTGTAACTGGGCGGTTACTGTCCTGTAACTGGGCGGTTACTGTCCTGTAACTGGGCGGTTACTGTAACTGGGCGGTTACTGTCCTGTAACTGGGCGGTTACTGTCCTGTAACTGGGCGGTTACTGCCCTTTTACTGGGCGGTTACTGTCCTTATACTGCCTTATAGCACCATCAGTCTATAATCTATATGATTATAGATTATAGACTGATATAGCACCATCAGTCTATAATCTATAATCAGTCTTGCAGTGCTGTTTATTATGCACCTAAAATACGGCCCCACTGTCTGCGAGGATGGGGCGTCAAAAACCGCCTGGTGTGAAAGATTACATTGAATATTGCTAACTAAACTGTCGCGGCAAATCTACCGCCGTAGCTTTAGAAGTACACACGCGGGCGTCAGGCGTCAAATTCTACGCCGCGGTAAAAGCCGTCTTGTGTGAACAGCAGTGCACCTTTTGTATGTTCGCTAAGGTTCGGTGGTAAATACCGTCGGACGCTGGCGGTATTTACTGCCCAGTGTGAAAGGAGCTTTACTGCCGAGTTACTGTTCAGTTACCGGTCACTGCGTTACTGACTATTGCGTTACAGCCCATGACAGGAAAACATATGGAAACTTGTTCGTCCGAGAAGTCGAGGGTTCAATTAATCGTCTTTACCGCCGACTGCTTTAAACGCCTTATAACGGGAACGCCCTATATACATTCAAGTGTCAGGAACGCACAGAAGGAAGGCCAAGAGTCTCCCCCTACGCACAGAAAGAAGAAGAGAAAGTGCGGAATGTCGTCAGAAGCGGAAACCCGGATGAATCTTTCTGCAATCATCCGTAGACCCGGACACTTGCTACCATTGCTGCAATCATCCGTAGACCCGGACACTTGCTACCATTGCTGCAATCATCCGTAGACCCGGACACTTGCTACCATTGCTGCAATCATCCGTAGACCCGGACACTTGCTACCATTGCTGCAATCATCCGTAGACCCGGACACTTGCTACCATTGCTGCAATTGATGAGTAAATAACCTACAGTTTTGTGAGTAAATAACCTACAGTTTTGTGAGTAAATAACCTACAGTTTTGTGAGTAAATAACCTACAGTTTTGTGAGTAAATAACTCACAGTTTGGTGAGTAAATAACCTACAGTTTTGTGAGTAACATCAAGCGCATGTGAGGCTCGTGACTCACGGTGTATTGACCGCCGACTAGACTAAAATATTCACGTCGCCTGGGCTGTGTTGTCTGTGTGGTCTGTGTGAACTAAAATATTCACGTCGCCTGGGCTGTGTTGTCTGTGTGGGCTGTGTTGTCTGTGTTGTGTGTGTGGATTGTGTGGCCTGTGAGGTTTTTGAGGACTGTTTGGTCTGTGGAGACCGTATGGTCTGCAAGGTTGTTTTGTGTGTGCAGATAAGTCTGTATGGTCTACATAGTCTGTATGGTCTACGTAGTCATTATGGTCTACTCAGTCTGTATGGTCTATGTAGTGTGTATGGTCTACGGGTAGTCTGTATGGTCTACTTAGTCTGTATGGTCTATGTAGTGTGTATGGTCTACGTAGTCTGTATGGTCTGTATGGACTGTCAATTTAAACTGTCACCGCCAATGCAACTAATGCGCACAGTCACTGCCCTGACACGACATCGGCACGAACGCGTTGCAAACAAACGAACGATGCACGAATGAACAAACGCCAACGAACATACATACATGTACGAAATAACGCACTAACGAACGGATGATCGAATGCCATTTACGAATTTTCAAGTCGTACCAAAATGAATGACCTATTTATGTGTACGTACATTAGCCCGAGTTTCACATGTACACTCACAAATGTTTTACGAATAAAAATGTCAATAATATTTTCACGCATTTACTTATCAAGGTATAAGAACGCCATGCACAGATAACTGAATAACATCTCACGCACCACGAATAAGAGTGAGTACAGCCACGCAGATAAATAACGTCTCACGCACCACGAATAAGAATGAGCACAGTCACGCAGATAAATAAAGTCTCACGCACCACGAATAAGAGTGAGTACAGTCACGCAGATAAATAACGTCTCACGCACCACGAATAAGAATGAGCACAGTCACGCAGATAAATAAAGTCTCACGCACCACGAATAAGAGTGAGTACAGTCACGCAGATAAATAACGTCTCACGCACCACGAATAAGAGTGCGTGCAGCCACGCAGATGAATAACGTCTCACGCACCACGAATAAGAGTGCGTGCAGTCATCAGCAACGCACCGTGCGTGAAGCGAAGCATAACTGTTGTGGAATGCTGGGGAGACACGAACGAGGAGCGACGCACATCCTCACTTCACCGCAGCGCTAAGCGCACTGACCTTAAATTGCACTAACGCGCGCCAGTCAAGCGAGTTACTCGATAAATAAATCCATACGTGAATTGCATTAACCCATATTTGATCACGACAGCTATCAATAGATGAATATTTTAATGTTTAAATATTATTCTTATATTACTATTATTAATATACTATTACTATATATTATATACTATAGGTACTACATTATAATTATTAATATATATTATATATTACTAATAATAATATATACTTACTATTAATATTATTCGATTACTGCAGCTAGCAAAATATGAATATTAAATTATTTAATTATTATTACTTGAGTTGCGTTGAGTTATTCTAATTTTCGTTCAAGTTATAGCGTTTAATTTTAGTCGTATTTGATGATTAGAATGCTACTTTAAATTGGGTAAAATGTTAATTTAAATTAATTTTGCTGCACCTAATAAGTTTTTCAAGGTTTCCTGAAAATTAAGATACTGTTTGCTCGATATTTAAATGGACTCAATGTACGAAATAACGTCTTTTAATGATAATAAATAAAAAAAGTTGATAACAAATATACTATAGTAAATTTGATGATTACGATGCTTAAAATATTATTAAATTTAAATCATTTAGCACATGAATGGATTAGAACATTAATCAAGAATTATGAAGGACTGGTACGTTTGAAGATATATTCATTTTTATGAAGAATTATGAATTAATTTTTATTTTGAATTACTTTTATTGGGAATTAATTCATAATTATGAAATTATTAAATCGCAAGTGTCATCTCCAGAGCTAAGGGAAAATTTATCAGTTATTCCCACGACCTTGAGCCGCGCCACCAAGGTCATTAGGATCCCAGGCTCCGTGGGACTGTTGCCATGGTTGACAGGACATACATGGTTGACAGGACAGCCATAGTTGACAGGACAGCCATGGTTGACAGGACAGCCATGGTTGACAGGACAGCCATGGTTGACAGGACAGCCATGGTTGACAGGACAGCCATGGTTGACAGGACAGCCATGGTTGAC